GGAGCTGCAGTTCGCGGCGGCGCTGGGGCGCATCTAGGCGCCCGGGCGGGCTGGGGCCGGAGGCTGAGCCGCGGTGAGCCAGCGGTGCGCACAGCTCTGCCCGCCACCCGTCCCCCTCCCCCAGCGGATCCCGGCCGCCCCTCGGCTCTCCACCGGGCTTCTAGCGCAGCCCCCCCGGGGTGCCCATCCATTTCCTTGGGTGACTACAGCGTGTGTCTTGTTTTTCTTTCTTTCCCCCCCTCCCTGTGTGCCCTTCTCCAGGATGGCAGAGGCGGAGTTGCACAAGGAAAGGCTGCAAGCCATAGCAGTAAGTCCACTTTCATTTTATTTTCTTGCTCTATTGTCTGGGATGGAAGGGGACCCCGAGTGTTTCGGGGCCATCGACATTCCAGCACAGTAGCCGCAGGGCATGTGTTTGGGGGATAAAAGTCGGTCAAGGCTCAGCTACGCGCTTTTTCTTTTATACGTCTGTGGAAAGAAACCCCCAGGGCGCGCTTTGGGCTGGGGATTTGAATGTGGAAGATTGGCTTAGAAATAAGATGCTTGCTACTGGGCTTTGGGAAAAGACCAGACTCATGGGGGTGGGGGTGGGGCGATTCTTGGAATATTATCACCCAGTGATCGGTCCTACTCTGACTGCATCCACTGGAGAAACGAGAGAACGGCGACCAGAACAGTGGCTGCCACCCTTACTGCGGAAGCTGTTCGGTCTCCTAAGTGGGAAACCAGCAGTCAGCTCCACCGCCAGCCCCGCGGTCCTGAAACCCGGGGTGTTCATTTTCCCTGTGCTCTTTGATATTGACAAGGACATTGGCACAAGCCTCCATTCTGGAGGGGTCTGGGGACTTCTAACGACTGGGTCCTGGGCATAATATTCCAAGAGAGCATCCTTCTTCTGGGGGTGGACAATCTGAAACCTATTATCAGGATACAAAGGAGCAACCAGTTTTGGCAAAGTTTACATGCACTTTGAGAAAAGTGTACCCTTGTGCATCTTGAGTAAAAAAGAGAACTTTCTGGGACTGTGTAGATTTGAGCAATCTTGCCACAGTGTTGTCAATGATCCACAGATGTGGTATTTTTACTGGAGCCACCACAGCTGGATTATATATTTCCTTTGCAGATGAGGGAATGATTACTGCTGCTATATGAAATAATAACAATTAAAAGAGAAGGTCTGTTCACATATTGGCATAAAAGAAGCTCCAGACGTTCTTCTACCTAAGTACCTTTTTTTTTTTGGTCCAGGAGTTCTCTGGAAACACATATAAATTTGTCAGAGAAATAGTGTGTAATGTTTTGGAAGCAAAGTATATTGAAGTGTTTTCAAAATCCTTTGGACAGATTCTTCATGAGGAAAATGCATACAGGCCCTTCTTTTTAAAAGAATCATTTGATATGGTTCCCAGGGCACTGAGATCCTCTCTACCAACGTCTTCAAATTGTAAATGTCCTGGAGACTTGACCACTGAAGTGAGAGGGACATTAGTTGGCAGTGTTGAAATGCTACGGGTTTTTTATTTTGCTCGTTGGGCAATCTTTGAACTTGGTCCTTCAGAACTCAGGAAAGCTGGGGTTTTTTTTGTTTGTTTTTTCTCTTTTCCCTGTCCCTCTGTGCATGTGCATTTGGATGGTTAATGAAGTTGTTTATGCTTTCTAAAGCTAGTGGCAAGGCAGTGTGGCCTGTGTGTCATGGACTTGATAAGAATGGAGATATTCAGTTATTGGTGCCATGTAGCTAGTGGGTGTTTTATAGAAACTGAATAATAGGGCTGCTCCAGAAAACCTTCAGTTGCTCCCATAGACTGTGTGAGGGTTTCCAACAGTTGTCATGTTTTCTGCCTTTGCGCGAGCAGCTTTCCTGGATGCCTGAGGAACAGCTGAGCCTTGTGAAAGGACTTGCTCTCTGAACGGGGAGCCAGTAGCTGCTAACACTGGGGCCATCCCTTTCCAAAGGGGTTTGGGTAATCCCAGCAGGGGCCAAGTGGATTTTCAAGAAAGATTAAGCCAGTCTTTTAGAATTCTCTTGAGTGTATGATAAGTCTAAACACAAACACTTGTGTCTGTTCAGCTGTGGAATTGAGTTTGTCCTGGACCCAGGAAGGTGTTGATGAGTCTCATGAACATATCCGTCTCCATTAACATACATGTTGGTTATTTGTTTAGATACACTAACAGTGTGTGTGTGTGTGTGAGAGAGAGAGAGAGAGAGAGGGAGAGAGAGAGAGAGAGACTGACTTAAGAAATGAGAGAGATTGGGCGCCTGGGTGGCTCAGTTGGTTAAGCGACTGCCTTCGGCTCAGGTCATGATCCTGGAGTCCCTGGATCGAGTCCCGCATCGGGCTCCCTGCTCGGCAGGGAGTCTGCTTCTCCCTCTGACCCTCCCCCCTCTCATGTGCTCTCTCTCATTCTCTCTCTCTCAAATAAATAAATAAAATCTTTAAAAAAAAAAAAAAGAAATGAGAGAGATCAGCGGGTCTTGCGACCATATCAGTAAATAGTTCTGTGCTATGCTTTGGCCTAATGCACATTCTCCAAACTTGGCAAACCCTGCCTCTCTCTGCTGCCCTCCTAGAGTTCTCGGGGGACTGTCAGGAGGAAGCCCCCAAGCCTGCCTCCAGAGCCTAGCACTCCTGCAGTAGGTCTGGAAATGTGAAAGAGGAAGAGAACAAGTCCTTACCTCTTCACCAACTTGGGTTCCTCTCTAAGAGGCGGAGCAGACAGACAAGGACTCTAGTCTGTGGGGTTGTGGGCAGTCTTTAGTCTGGACTGCTGTTCCTTCATCTGTACAATGAGCTCACACATTCTACCCACGGGCTCCTTGTAAGGTTTAGCTCTGATACAGATGAAGTACCTGGCATGTGGTTGTCATTAGATGGTATGGAGGCAGAATCCCCGAGTCCCCGATTCCTGTCCATAGCACTGCCTTGTCCCATGAGGCTTAGAGGCAACACCTTTGAAGTACAGAGTCTGAATAGCCTTTTACATTTTGCTCTTTAATTCTGACTAAAGGTCAGGGCTGTGTCCAGCATCAGTTCCTCCAGCTGCTTCAGGCACAGGTGCAGAGCTGTCACCCGAGGACTCATCCATCCATTTGTTCAGCAGGTACTTAAGTGTGCCTCCTCTGGGAAGGTACTATCAACACCAAAAAGTCAGTGTCCCCACGTTTCAACCATCACAGGGAAGATACTACCTTTTACTTATGACCTGAAAGGACAGATGTCCTGTGACCCATTGGTCACATGGTCATCTGGGATTTTTTTTTTTTTACCCCCAAGGGAATGAAATACTCAGAAACTGTGGTACTTTAATTGAATCTTCCAGTTGAATCCAGAGCCTTATCAATGAGAAAAGATGGATCTCATCCTACCTCTTGCCAAAAGAAGAGCAAGTGCGTCTTTGACAACTTTCTCTACTCCCAGGCTCTCCTTCCACCTGTAAGGACACCCCCAAAGTGGTAATTTCAGGAGATAGCAAAACGTTTCTGTAGCAGAATGAATGTGAATAATAATTCCAAGGAATAATACTACAATTGCCATTTATTGAACATTATCTATTCAGCAAGGCACTGTGTGATCTGCTTTTTTTTTTTTTACCCTTAAGTTTTTAATAATCGAAAGGAGAAACACACATGAACCATTATGTACAGTGCCGGGAGTACTTATGCAAATGAGCACTCCCGTGGAGCAGGTAAACCAACCTCAAGGAGCTGTGGAACATTCCCCAGAGAGGAGGCACTGGAGCAAGTCCTGAAGCCTGGGTAAAATCACATGTTACGTAATAACCTTCCTAATTAGCAGAAGGCATTTATTTGTTTATCGTTAGTTTTATTATTATTTATTTGGAACAGTTAATATGAGAAAGGAAAAGCCAAAAGCATGAAGAAGTTCAGTCAGTAGCTAAAGGCACAAACTCGGTAATAAGACGAAAGTGCATTTTAACACACATTATGTCATTTAATACTAATAAATGTCATTTGTTACTAATAAACTGATGAGGCAGGAACTACTACATTATCCACATTTTATAGATAAAGAGCCCAGCATTAACAGATGGTGTCAGGGCCAGAATTTGAACCCACGCTTCAGGGCACTAGAACCCCTATATTGACTACTGCCCCGAATTGCTACTCCCAAGATGGTGGCAATCTTCCACTTTTCCTCTGAGCACACTGTGCAGGTGGTTCCAACAGCCTCAGTGGGAGCCAACAAGGGAGAAGCAGGCTGATTCAGTAGCACTGGGAAAGGCCAAACCAGGAGGCCTACGTTGTTTTGAGAGTCTTCCAAGCTGGGTTTCAGTGCACAGAAATGTCTGATGTACTTTCTAACTGAATGAGTAACACTCCCATGGGAAAGAAGCTATGGTGTCTCAATGGAAATCAGCTTTGGGAGAGGATGTTGTTATGTCTGCACGTCCGAGAGGAAGAAGGTCTTCCTTGGGCATGTGGGAAGATAAGTACATGTTGCAGAGGTCAGCGTGCGTCAAAGCCCACAGAGCCATGTGGACAAGGCCTCGGCCTCCACCAGGGACCAGCATGAGCATGTTCACAAATATGGAAGGTCAACCCAACCTACACATGCTTTCTAGAGAATTTTATCATTTAATAAGAACCCACTCTGTGGACTAATAAAAATGATCTTTTGTATCTGTACGCCGGCTTACAACATACAGACACCTGCGTAGGTTACCTTAATTCTGAGCTGTGTGGGGCAGGCCTCAGTATCTTCACTTCACAGTTGAGGATACAGAGATATCCAAGCTCACAAAGTGAGCTGCGGATGAGTTGTATTAAGCCCAGTCTCTCCTGACTCCCGATTCCTTGTATTAGTGGCACATCTAGTTTGGAGGGGGTACCCTGATAAGACTGGGGGCTGCCACAAGGATCCTCTTGAGCTAGAGTCCTAGGGTCAGAAGGAGAGGGATGAGCTTGTGGGTATGTGGGCCTGGATGTGCCTCCATGAAATCTGCCTCTTTGGGGATCTCACTTAGGCCTCCGCTCCGTCTTGAAACTCTCCCACAGTTTAGTGGGTCTGTGGCTCCGACCTGATCCCATTCTATGTCCCAAGAAGGCCTGGATGTTAGGTGGGTGGCTTAGGCTGGCTCAGCGTGCACTTGCAAAGAAACACTTTTGGCATTTCCTTGGATTCATGTCTCACTGCCTCTTCTTGCCTTGAGATGATAGGGCCTTGAATATCACCAGGGTTAGAATATGGGACCAGGCGCTGGGGTGCCAATCAGCCTGCGTTTGATCCAGGCCACTTAGGTTGGTCTGCATAGCCTGGGCAAAAGTCCTGGCTGCAATTTCCA